TACATGTATCTAATAAGCAAATAACTGATTTAGCTGCTGTGCTGAAACTAATATATTTAATTCCACCCTCCTCTCTGACACACTGCTTCCTGACCAGTACTACATACAGTAGGAAAAACAACACTTTGATTTAGAAACAATACATCTGAGGGTCTTATTGCTTTTTCTCTCTGGAAGGATTAGCTAAAGCCATTAATCCCCAAACACTGGACATACATCAGTTGAGTTGATTGTTTACCCAGTAGATTGCTGTAGTATTGTTCATAACTCTTTTGAGTTGGTTCAGCTGACTGATGTCAAACAAACAGTTGTTAGATACAGAAGTGCATTTCCAAGGAAGAGATATGTATGCAACCTGACAAGCATAGAGACACTTCAGTGATGCAAGTAGCAGTTCTAGACACTTGCCTAATATGTTCTCACATCCCACCCCTGAAAAAGACATAAAAATTATTTGTAGAAGGTGAGATAAGGAAGAAAAAAGATTATTCAGAGACTGAAAGAATCTATCTGCCTTGCAAGGTAGAAAGCAGTTAAGAGTACTGTGGTCACAGAAAATGGATTGCTAGTGTAAGTAGTAAAAGAGAGTGGATAGAAGATAAATAATCATGCTGGAGGTTCACCACTTTGCAGGTCTGGCCCCTGCTGGCCGGGGATTTACAGTGGCGCTGCTTCTCCCCGGCCCCATTCAGAGTGTTATAATGAAACACTCTGGGCGCTAAGTGAAACCAGGTACGTATTTTAAATGAGCGTTATAGCAAAACCATGGTAAGTGAAACCGCACTAAGCAGGGGTTGCCTGTACATCCTTAGTGACTTGTTCTTCCTCTATGGCTTGCTTGCTTCTCTCTTGATTTTAAAGTAGTTAAGACTCTCCTTCTGTAGTCTTGGGTCTACTACAGTTCTTATCTTTCCACCAGGTTAGAACAGTTTCATGTTGATTTTCCAGTTCTATGTCTTTTAGGAACTGCCAGCACTCCTGGACCCTTTTATCCTTCACTCTGTCTATTTTTGGGACCTTTCCTTGTATTTCTCTGAGTTGGATGTGTAGTGGTCACCAGGTTTAATGAAGACAGTCAGGCATGAATAAGAAGAACAAAACACGTTTTATTATGGAGCAGTAAATGAGCCTTTGCAGTGTTTTAGTCTTCCTAACTAACAGCTACTCCTTAATTGGGGCTAGGTACAGACATTTGTAACCTGGGTGCACCCAAGTAATGTGCTCCCTTCTCCAGATAGAAGGGATGGGTGGCAAGGCAGGAGTGCTGTGAGAGGGATCTGCAAACTGCAGGCTAAATCCCTCTATTCCCTATAGAGTTAGGCAAGGACAAGGGTTGCTTAAATTATATACAGGTTTATTTATACAAAATCTAAAGAAAATTGTTATTAATTGCATATATATACACAAATGTACAATTATCATATTTTGCTATGTCCTGCAGATAAAGGCAGAAAGATTACACCTCTTCAGGTAACCTCAAGCAAGGGGTTGATAATTAGTTAATCAAAAATGGATAAGCAACAAGTAAATAGAGGTAGACACAAATAAATTCAGCTAAACAACATTCAAAACACAAATGTGCACAGGTGAGTATAGGCATTCATATATAACCATCAGGAAAAGGGTCCCAGCAGTGGCCCTTAAGTTTATACTTAGCACTCTATTAAATTACTAATATACAAAGTTAAAATGTCCACAAAATATAAGGCTCAGCATCACAAAATATGAGGCACTGTCCCACAAAATATAAGGCACCTCAACAACCGGTTAGCTCAAGCTTCCCCAAGGATAAACTGCCCTACAGCTGGGGTAGCTCCCCTCCCCGGTGGGAAACCCTTCCCCAGCAACTCAATTCCAGGGCCTGGATGGGTTGTCATCATCCCTTTGGCCGAGTTGCTCCTCACATGTGTGGCCTCCTAGGCAACTGGCTTCCCTTGGGCTGCCGCTCGCTGGTGGCCCTGTGCACTGCTGTGTGCACCGAAGGCTCTGTCTTCTGCTGGGGTTGGAGGCCCGGGCTGCCTCATGCAGCACCAGGGCTCAATCCACTCCTGGACCTTCTGTGCAGCGTCACCTGCACTGAGTTGCCTCGTGCCGTTGGCTGCAGACCTGAGATGCCTCAAGCGGCTCCCAGGGTCTAGCTCCATGCAGTGCCGCCTCCATCGAGTTCCCTGGCTGCTTGCCAGGGATCGCAGACCTAAGCTGCTCCCAGAGTCTCAAGCTTTTTGCACCACTGTGTGCACCGAGGGCTCAGCTGCATACTGGGGGTTGCAGACCCAAGCTGCCTCATGCAGCATCCAGGGTCCAGGCTCCATGCACTGCTGCGTGCGCAGAGTGGCTGGAGACCCGAGCTGTCTCACACAGCTCCCAGATTGCCCCGTGCGCTGCACTATGCACCGACTGGGGCTGAAGCCATCTGCCACTCCTGTCTGGTGAGAGGCATCTACAGGGGCTCTTCAGGGCAGCAACATCTGCCCACTAGGCAGGTCTTCCCCAGCTCTTCTTAGCCCTGCTCTTGTCTCCTTCCCTTGAAACATCTGTTGTATGCTGAGCATGCTGCTCCATTTATTTGCTCTGGAGTCTCCTCCCACGGAGGGCAGCCAGACCTCCAAAGTACAGGCTTCAATCAGGTCCAGCACTCTTCGCCCCCACCTGGCAGGAGGCAGGGCAAGCCCCACCCTGTTGTTACCTGATTGGTGAATGGGATCCACCAATCATGCTGGAGATTCTCTGAGCCCAGACTTGCTGGGCTGTATGGGTAAGTCTGTCACACATTTAAAAAGGCCGAGGAGGAATTGATTTAAATTACGCAGTTTTCTGTAAGTGGCATAGTTTAGATAGGTAGCAAACAGAATACACGTTCACCCTTGGTGGGGGGTGGAAATCTTAGACTGGGCTCCGCCATTTTTAAGTCAGTCTGAAGGATGAACTCCTGTTCTGTTACAGGTATACACCAATTTCCGATCACTTATACGGATAAAAGTGTAATGTCTGTACCTGGCCAGGGAGACTGCATTTGGATTCCTAACACTGCTAAATCAGGGAACATCTCTAAATTATAACTTTTATCACTACAGGGTGAAATTGTTTTCAAGTCCAGTTTCCTTGTTCTGCTAAGCCTATGCCTTCCCTTTGACTTGTATCATATCATGTTTATGATGACTTCCTTCTGAATGCTGAATCTGGTCAGAGGAGATTTCAAAGGAGATTTAGTCCTGGTCTTGATTTCTTTGTGGTCTATGACAAGTGATTTAAATTCGGGCTTTAGTTTTCCAAGACAAGAATGTTATAAGAAGTAATGAATGTTTAGAAAATGTAATGAAAATGACAGTCTATCAGGTCATTTAACTTTTTTTTCCTTTGTTTTTCTTCCTGGATTCTATTTTTAAATTTCTTTTTATTTTGGGGAGTGCTTTGCATTTGTGTTTCCGTCCACGTGCTGGATTACACACACTAGTACTTTTCATGCTTTGAGGGTTTTTGCATATGCAAAGTAATTTTTTTCCCATTGTTACTTTTTCCCCTTGTTTTTTCAGTTTTGGTTTTTTTCAAATTTTTCATGCTTTCTTTAGCCCACTTTTTAATCTCTAATGGCACTTTTCATGTGCTTACCTTTCTGCTACTAGGTGCTTCTTTCTTTGATGTCATGTTTTGTTTCATCCAGGATTCTTTTCTTCTTTTCCCCGAGAGAGAGAGAGAGAGAGAGAGAGAGAGAGAGAGAGAGAGAGATGCATTGCCCTATTTATGTTTCAAAGGTTTCCTGCTTTATATATTTACTTGGGGGATTTAAAATTATATTTAGCTTGTATTTTCATCCTTTTTTGTATTATCGTGTGTTTTTTTTAATTTTTGGTATTTTCATGACTTTCTCATTTCCCCGTTTTTCCCTTCATTTATTCTTTCCCTTGGTGTTTGAGTATGCGCTTTCAGGTTTTTCACGTTTCACTCTTTTGTGTTTGTATTTTTTTGGGGTGTTCTTCAGTGTCATGTACTTTCAGGAGTTGCTCATTGGTTGCTTTGTCATGTTTTTAATTTTATTTTTTGTGGCTTGGATTTGTGGGTGTGCTGTTGTATGTGCTTCTGGGGTCTGTGTTAGCACAGTTCTCTAGTTTCCCTACTTTCTCATTTTTCTGTCCCCCCCCCCCTTTTTTTGCTTTTATTTTCTTACAGGGGCGACATGTAGAGGGTGCACCCCCTGCAAAAAGGTGCTGCCGATACTGTTGATGGTGCCTGGGGGCAGTTGGCGCTTGTCACCCTGCTGGCGGCATCTGCTGGCCATTGCCAATGCTGCCAGCTGAGCCTGCAGGTAGTCGCTGACCCCTGGTCGATGCTTGCCACCGTGCCCTCCCCCCATGTCTGACAGTGGTAGCGGTGTCTGCAGGAGCTCCCCGCTCTCTGCCACTGGGTTGCTGCCAGCGGCCAGGGGCACACACTGTTCACATTTTCTTATTCCCTGTTTTGAGTCTTTTGGCCTTTTCCATTCCTTTTATTTTTTTACCTCTTTTTCTCTTCTCTTTGTGTCTTTCTTTTGAGGCTTGAAAAAAAATGCTTTGAGATTGTTTTTGCTTTTATATCTTTCACGTTTTTGCTTCGATTGCCTGTTTCTTTGCAATTCTGCTATGGGTCGCTAGGGAGGTGCAGCTGCGCCTGGTGGCTGCTCACAGCGCACGCGCCAACGGCGCACAACAGAGACCGAAGGGCTTGTCTTGACTGGACCAGGACCCGGGGCGGGGGCGTGGCCTCCGTTCCCTTCCCTAGTGTCGCAATCCAACCAGAGCGACCAATCTCTGCCCGCCTTTGCCCCTCGCAAGCTCGAGCTGGGGCGGCTGAACTGGTCTGCGCACGCGCAAAAGTAACCAGCCTAAAGCAGCCTACTCGCTCACGCACGTAAGTAACCTGCCTTCTTTGCGCATGCGCACACGGCCTTTGGCGCGGGAGGGTCACGTGGCCTTCCACCAGCCCCTCCTTTCCCCAGTTAGCGTCACGCGAAGGGGGTGGGGCCCTGGAAAGAGAGCCTCAGTCTGAGTCTTTCCCGCCGGAACTGCTGGTGTCGCCGCCATGGAGGAGCAGAAGGAGAACTGGCTGCGGGGCGGGCACCACGAGGCGCCGGCATCTGCCCCTGCGCCCGCCCCACCCAGCCAGCTCGCGGCCCCGGCCCCCGGCAGCACCCCCAGGGTAGTGCTCCCTCGCGCGTGCGGGGGGGGAATTGCGTCACTACCACGTGACCAAACGGTCTGCAGCCAGTTGCCGGGGCGGTCACGTCACCTTCCAACTGGCCCCGTAGAATGTTGGCAGGGGCCCCAGTCAGTGTGCGTATGCGCTGGGCAGGGTGGGGCGGACTCGTCCCAGCGCTGGGGCGGCGAGGCACGGGCAGAGCGGAGGGCCGGAAGGAACCTCCGAGCGGGGCAGCCCACGGTTCACGGGTCGAGCTTTCCCTGGCCTAGTGCTGGACTTGGGGCAGGGCAGGAGCAATGCTCCCAAGCGCCCTGACCTGCCACGGGAAGCAGGGGTGGGAGAGTGCTGTGGGTGCCTGGTTGCAAATGATGAGAGGCTGAGGGGACGGGGCTTATTTAGTTTGGCAGAGAAGAATGAGGTGGGGTTCATTGCAGCCTTCAACTACCTGAAGGGTGGTTCCAAAATGGATGGAGCCGGGCTGTTCTCAGTGAGGGCAGATGACAGAACAAGGAGCAATGGTCTCAGGATGCAGCAAGGAAAGTTTAGGTTGGATATTAGGAGGCACTTTATCAGGAGGAGGGTGGTGAAGCACTGGAACAGGTTACCCAGAGAGGTGGTGGACTCTCCATCCTTGGAGGTTTTTAAGACCTGGCCTTGGCTGGGATGATGTAGTTGGGGGTGGTCCTGCTTTGAGCAGGGGGTTGGACTAGATTGGTGTTTCTCAACCCATGGATCATGACCCAAAAGTGGGTCACAAGAATATATGAAAGGGTCACAAACAAACTAAAACTGGATCAAGGCTCTTTGGGTGGATGTGATATTGTTTATTAGTTGCTCTAATAAAAGAAATCGCATCTACCCAAAGAACATTGCCTGCGTATGTCCTTAGACCAACATGGCTACAAACAACAGCCCTGCAGGAATAGATCAACAAACTTCAAAAATGGATTCTCCTTTAAAGGAGAAAAATGTGGGAAGCTGTGGCTTTTCTCTTGTAGGTTGGTAGAGTTCCAGCTTGTGAGGGGTTGCTTGGGGCTGTTTGGGATTTCCCCTACCCCACACACTGAGGAGCCTGGAGGTGGGGGGCAGTGGGTCGGGATTGGCCATCAGTATTTACAAATGGGTCCTGGTACAAAAAAAAAGTTGAGAACCACTGCACTAGACCAGTGGTCTCCAAAGTGGGGTGCGCACACAATTCATTGGGGTGCAGGAAGAAAATATTAGAACTTCTATTTAGATGTATATTTATATAAATATACATATATTGGGGATGCATGCTCAAAAATTTTTTATTGATAGGGGTGTGCGATCAAAAAAGTTTGGAGACCACTGCACTAGGCGACCTCCTGAGGTCCCTTCCAACCCTCCTTTTCCATGATTCTATGTCACTTGTTAAATGTGGGACAGATCCGAGAAAGATGGCTAGGCCTGGTATACAGAGAAAGATAAACTCCACATCGCGCATGTTGATCTGACTGGGGTAAAATGCTTTCCCCATCTCAGATATGGCAGTTGTTGTGATCCTGAGAAGAGCAAGAGCATCTAGCCAAGAAACTCTGAGATTTATTTTTAAATCCCAGCAGGAGCATTGGCATAGCCTTGGCTGCAGCCAGCAACCACTGCTTCTGAGGAAGGCGGAAAACTCTCCTGAAACCTGTAGCAGCAGGAGGTGAAAAAAGTTTTTTCCAGCATAGGTAGCAACCAACAAAGCCCAGAAGTAGGGGAAAAAATTGAGCACTCGCTTCTTTATGCTGTGCCCTGGGGGCTGTAAATACAACTCCACACATTGCACTCCCTAATTGGAGAGCCAGAACTCCCCACTTCTGTTATCCTGTTCCTCTCTATAAACTTACTGCAGCTACTTCAGTCTTTCATGACCAAGCTGGTTGTAGAAGTCTGTTTCATTCTTTTGCTAATGAGCATAGGCATCTCCAGTTTTGAATCTGTAGATGAAAATTGCCCCATGACTTCAGGTACTTACGATGGGATCAAAGTGAACTTCTTGAAGGTTATTCTTTTGCCCAATAGGGAAAAACTTCATAGATGGTCTTGAGACTTTAAAAATACAGGCAAGTTTTAAAGCTTTGCCATGCAGCCCTGTATTGTCCTGCATGGTATTACTGTTAAAGTGTTAAGTTGTAGGGAGTCTGGCTCCCTGTGCCCCAGCACCTTTAGAGTTCAGCTGTGCAGCCCAGTAAGGCTTTAAGCTTTCCATTGTTGGGGGAGGCTGTTGACACTCTTTATCCTAGCACCTGAAAACCCCCACCATGCAGCCTGATACTGGGTTGCACAGTAAAGGTTTAAGCTTACCAGGCTTCCTATATGCCAGGACCTTAAAACACACGTGGTGCAACTGGGAGGACCAGTTCCTGATCCCAGGCTTCACAGTCTGAGGAATTTTATCCCAAATCTCCAGAATCTCATGTTCTGCCATGCATGTCCAGTTTTAATTTCCTGTCTTTTCTGTCTTCTCTGTGTTGTGAAGATGGTATTTCAAAATGGTGGTTGCACTGTTTGTTTTATTTTTTTAGATATAGGAACTGACTAGTGCCTACTGCTTATGACTAAAATTGTGTGAGATTGCACTGTTTTTTGGTGGGGGGTTAATTATTTAGCATCTGTTTTGGCTTCCTTAAATTAATTGCAGAATTTTTCTTCTAGGGCCAGCATCACTGTAGACTGGATGGACAAGACCATAATGAAAAAATTTCCACCTGCCATTCTAATGATTTCAGTGACCCAATTTACAAAGAAATTGCTATAACTAATGGTTGCATTAATAGGATGAGTAGAGATGAGCTGAGAGCCAAACTTGCAGAGTTCAAGCTTGAAACGAGGTAAAACTTAATTATGAGCATGTTGGTCATCTTTCAGAAAGTCTGTTGTAATGCTTTCTTTTGTTGCATGTGGAAAAATGAGATCAACATTTGACTTCCTATAAAATTTCTTGAATAACCTCTGTCTTCTGAGTCTTTGCAGTTCAAATCAGTGATGTTAATGCACAAAGATGGTAGAAAGACTACATATGTTTTATGCTTCTTGGCAAATGTCATTTGGCATCCTTTCAATGGGGAAATGTTAGTAAGTATATTAGGGGCTCAAATATGGTAATTCAAAAAGCCCAGATTTTAGAAAACTAAATGTGCTTGTTAGTGATTATTTGCATTGCTGTACATGTAGGAACTCCAGTATCATCATGTCCCCCAGAATTGACCAAACAGAGAAAAAAACAGTCCTAACAATGAAGAGTGTACTGCATAAGTGTACAAGACAGATAAAGCATGCAGGGAAGGAGTATAACATAACAAGTTCGATAGTTTGACAGAATTATGTTACTTCTGTGAATTTTTTTGGTGAGGTTTTATTGAAAGATAATTCTCTAAATAGAGACACGGAGGGGAAGTGCCTGTGTGTCTGGATAGCTCCTCAGCAAGTTTTGTTCCCTGACCTCATATTGCTAGGGTTGTATGAACCCTGGAATGAGAGAACTTTCATATATAGTTTTGGGTTTTCCTTCTCAAATTCTGTACCTACTAGTCTCTACTTTCGCCAGCTCTGTTACCTGGATAGCATCCTTGTAAAATATACTTCATATAGGGAGCCAATAGTTTCTCAAAAAGTAAAATGACAAAAAATATGTTTTATTTGGTAGAAGAACATAATGCTTGATTGACAATGGTCAGTGAATTGTATCCTGCAAAGGTGTTTGTTTGTTTTTTTTTTTTAAACGGGGTCTTTTTACCCTTTACTGTAAAGGAGACCTGAAAGCATGTTTTTAAATGGTTATTTTTGCTTGCTTACTATTTTTAGAACTATAAAGGAGTGTTGTAGTTAGATTTCCCTGGTTTGTTTGAAGGATTTAGGACAGTTCCACTGATGTGGGTTATAAGGGCATATTATGTCTTTAATCAGTTTTCAGTACCAAAAGTAGTAATTAATTGCTGAAGTTAAAAATGTGTTTGATATGGGAGTTTCAAACTCATCTGGTGCTCTTCCCTTTTAAACTATTCGCTTCTTTCAACTTTAGTGATTTTACCATTTTAAGTTATCCACTTACAAAAATATTTAAGATTTTAATTATCCATTATACAAAGCCAAAAGAGGTGTTTGCTCAATTTTTTTCCCCCTTCTGTATGTATGTCTTTAAATTTTAAAGTCATGGTTGTTTTTAGTTAGTAAATCCAGTCACCTATTGGTAATTTCACACGGCATGTTTTTTTCCCCCAGTAGCATTTTTATAGCTGTGATGGTCTGTTTAGCATTTCTAGCAATTAATGTTGCCGTCACATGCCCTAGTGCCAAATTCCCAGGCCATTGAGTTTGAGGCCTCTGTTCTTCAACTTGGCTGAGAAGAGGTAGAGTGGACTGGAGCTGGAGTGTCAGAATCCTGGCATGGGGTGGGGAGCACTGGTAGGTCTTACAAGCTCCCACCTCCCTCCTTTTACCTTCCATCTCTGAGAGGGGAGAGGGAGGGGAAAGGTGGTGTTGTGCCCCAAGCTGCTGTAGTCTCCTCTAGAGCCTTCTGTCTGTCCCTAAAAGAAGCTACAACATTTTGAAACATTCCAGCTAGGAAAGGTCCAAGTGTGTTTCACCTGGAAACATTTCATTTATTAAATCTGTCTGTACTTCTTGGTACCCAAGCTTACCTAAGTGTGTAATGGGTAGGATCTGGCATAAAGGTCTGACAGGTATGACAGATGATGAACTATATAGCTGGGAAGCCTGCATGATCTCATTTTATTGTAAAATGAATCTTCCTTGAAGTGCGAGGTTATACAGATCTTAGCAGATACCTTTTTTATAGCAGCTCATAGTTGGCAAAAATATGGCACTGAAGCCACACTTGCATAGTGATCTTATGTATGGTTGTGTACAAAGGATTAGAATTACATTTCTGATAACTTTTCTGCTAATAAAATATAGCTTGTTTCACTAAAATAACTTTTAATAAAGTGATGTTAATATCCTCTTGAAAACGTGAAGAAATGGGATGCCCCGCTTCTTACATTGTAAACTGATTTCCTGGATACGTTATAATAAAGGATGGTCTTTTCCTTTCTTGTGCCCTGATTTCACTGCTTATTGTTTATTAAAAGTATGAGGGGGAGAAGAATAGGAAGGAGGAAAAAAGTAAATGAGACAAGCTATATAAGGGAAAATTCAGCAAAACCCATCCAACTTTTCTTATTAAAAAAAAAAATTTTGCCTGTGATTTTAAAACAAAGTTTACGGGGTTTTTTTTAGGATGTAATGCATTTTTTTGTGTGGAGAAGATTTAAAACATTTTCTCCCATTGCTTCCCCCCTCCATTCTTCTCTTTCCTGTGTTGTGAATAAGAATGTAGACAAAATGGTCATTCTGACTTTTAATAAAATCTGCGGTGTGTGGCTTTTTAACCAACTTTGATTGAAATGGTTGTAAAATACCTTTTTAAATGCAGTTTCTTTCCTCCTAAAGTAAATCTTTCCTTGTATATATAGATTGCTCGTTTACCCCTGGCTTGGAATATAGCAGTTTTTTACTAGGGACTCTTTCACAATAGTTCTTCTGATTATTTTATTAAAAAAGAAGGAACAGTTTACTCAAGATCTAGCCTCTTGTCATAATAATGCCAGCTTCTGGTTTGTTATCAGATCCATAAGCCGTTTTTAATTACTAAAAAGGAAAGCCTTCTTCTCTGTTGTTATGAGGCTATTATGAAGATAAAGAGAGCTTTCATTGTGAAAGCTTGTTACCTTGTTTTGATAATTCAGGTATTGGATTTGGCTTCATTTTTGGATGGAAGTAACTGTTAACATGAATGGAAATCTACATTGGAATACTAACTTGATTTTTTTTCTTCTCATTTCTCTAGAGGAGTGAAAGATGTACTGAAAAAGAGGCTTAAAAACTACTACAAGAAGCAAAAGCTGATGCAGAAGGAGCCCATTGATGGAGAGAGTTACTATGATTTTATCTGTGTTGTTGACTTCGAAGCAACCTGTGAGGAGGGCAACCCCCCTGAATTTATACATGAAATAATTGAATTTCCTATCGTGCTAGTAAACACTCATACACTAGAAATAGTAAGTCATCTAATTCCTCTACCTCTTGTGCTGTGCTCTTCTAGTTTCTTTCCTTCAGAAAATGAGTACCTGAAATGTTAGTTATAAAGAGATGCATTTTAAATGGAGTATAACCATTTTCTTTCCTAAAAATTCAGAAGCAAACATACCATTTTACCTCACACACTTTTTTCCTCTGAAAATTGGCCCTCTAAAATTGGGGTAAGTGTCTTAAGCAAAGAAACTTAAAATGATCTATGTTGCCAGTCTCCCTTAAGATCCCTTCCCATTCAGATAGACAACAAAATAGAATGATACTTGGCATACACACATTATCGTGGATTTTTGAAGTGATGTTTACCTGGCTACTTTGCTGAGCTAATGAGTATATATCTCCGTCTTATAGGTGAAGAATTCAAATAAGCTGAGAGACTTGTTGAAAGCCTCACTGCAAGTCAGGTGTGGAAATAGGACCCATGAATTCTTGACCCTTAGCTTTCACTTCACTATACTGTGCTGCCTTCTTAGAGCTGCTGCTACTGCAGAGTTATTTTTAGTAGGGTTGGTGTGGTGTTGTAGTCATGGTGATCCAGGAAGTGTAAGAGGCAAAGGGTTTTTTTTGGCATCTTTTATTGGGGTGATTGTATAGTCGGGAGAGATATTTGGTAAGCCTTTGGTCACAAAATCTTCTTCTTCAGGTCTGTGAAAGAAAAGGGCACAGCCTAAGCTAAATAACCACCCCCAAAAGAAAAGAAACCATAGTTTTTGTTTATCAGTAGGTGTAGGTGTAGTAGGCAACTGTTGATCCTGTGGATCATGGTATACATATAAGAGGTCTAGTTGGATGCGTGATGAATCCGTTTGTGGCTGGCGAGCCCACTTTGAGAGCAACACAGCTTGTTACAAGTTTCACAGATCTGTCTTTTTGAGTTGGAATCCAAATTTACAGCATGCTGCTTCCTTTTCTCTTGTTTTGCTTCTCTCCTCTGGATCAAAGCTGGCCAGGCCCAGATGTTCCCTTCAGGTTGGACAGGATTCTGCGTGCTCCTCCCAGCTTTCTGTGTTGATGTTGAATGACTTAATCATTTTTGGACACATTATGGTACTGTTATAGAGGGTGAACTTGCTTTCTAGAGCTGATTTGAATCTCGCTAAACCAGGGGCGGGCAATTATTTTGGGCAGAGAGCCGCTTACCCAGTTTTGGCAGGCTGTCGAGGGCTGCATGGGTAGCCCTGCCCCATGACAGGTGCCCCACCCCCTGGTCACCATCTTGGAACCCATGTCCCAATGTCTTGGGGCCAGTGTCCCAGGGCCAGCACTAGTGGGGCCCAAAGCGGGGCACAAGCTGGCAAGGGTCTATGGAGCTCGGCTGGCCTGGGCTGCACCAGCAGGGAGCGGGGAGCTGGCTCGGCTCCATAGAGCCCCTGCCAGTTGGGAGCCTGCATTCCTGGCACCCTGCTCTGGGTCCTGCTGGTGCTGGCCCCGGGACACTGGTGTGGGCCCTGTGCTTCCGCTGGCTCCCCGTCCATTCACACTGGATAGAATACCCACCCCTGCACTAAACAAAATATTTTTGAGGATATAGTTTTCTTCTGACATGGCCAATCCATAGCAACCTTCTTTTCTTGATAGTGGCTTTCTAAGCGTGTTTGTCCTGTGCGCTGCAGTACCTCTGTGTTTTAGTATTCTTTGTCAGTACATGAAAGCAGTCATTTAAAGAATGGAACATGGCAGTGAACTAGGAGCAAAGAGAGGTGTTCAGCAGTAGATTCAAAACAAGGAAAATGTAGTTGAATGGTAACCCAAGGCCAAGAACAAGATGATTCAAAAGGGAAAAGAGTTATTTCCTGTAGAAACAACGTCAAAGTGGGATTGGGAACAGAAATCCATAACCTTACTGGATACTAATACCCGTGTCCAGCACCTTTTATTTGTTAACCAAGATCCACAAACCTGGCAGCCCAGGGACCTCCCCCCATTGTCTCTGGCTTTGGTGCCATCAGGGAGGGAGTTTCTGGCTATGGCAATTCTCTTCTGTTTCTTTATGCTGCTGAAGCTGCCACTGTTTTCCTTAGGAAGCTAGAGTCCATTGACAAACTTCTAGCAAACACCTTATTAGTTACCATGGATGTCATATTTCTGTATGCCAGTGTCCTGCATGTGGATGGGTAACAAGTCATAAGGAATGTTATCTTCAGTGATGGCACTTATTTCTGCTTTCACCACTCTCATTCTTTGTCTTCACACAACTATTTTAGGTTTGGGGACTCCCTATACTTACAAATGAATGGCATTGCCATGAACACACATATGGCCCCACAATACACCTATATGTTTATCACAAATCTCCAAGTTCATTTCCTCTGCAGCTGCCGTCTCATTTCCCTAATATGCCTGGGGAATATCATCATCATATGGACAAATCTAGAGAGATTCTACCAGGGCTTTAATGATTTCCACCTCTCTATCAAACTGACACTTGAAGTCTCTGCCTAGCCATTATTTCTTGGATTCCACTGTGAAATTTTGCAATGTCTACATTATTGTATTGGATCAGGAAACAACCAACAACTGCAGCTCCTTCGTGCCACCAGCAGTCTTTCTAAGTGCACCACTAGATTCATCATTTGCAGCAAAACACTATGCTACAACTTGTATCTGCTCTCAGCCCACTTACTGGACTGTACACCAAGTATCTGCAACAGGCTTTCCTATACTTAAAATTCAATTCCCAAACCTTAGTCACTCAAATCAGTGGAAGCAGACTCAGGCCCTGCCCTAAGTTGCTACAGTACCAACCCTGTGACAAGGATAATGAAATCCCTATTGTCCTCATACTCCCTACCTCAAACACATCAATAATGACCTCTCTACTTGTTTTCAGTGACCCATTGCTATCTAAATGAGACAGCTGGTGAAATTCCTACATAAAAGAATTACATAAGAGCCTATGGCAGAATACCACTTCCTTCTTAGGCATTCCACCCCTGACCTCAAAGTAGCCATCTTCAAACAAAGAAACAAATGGGGGAAAAAAAACCTCTTTAAAAACCAGCTTAACTGTGAAATTACAGAATAAGAAATCATCTATGGCCTTGATTGCATTAACCATGGTTTCAGCTGTAGATTCTTCATCCTATTACTTGGACTAGCTGTTAACTATGATGTCCTTCCAGGTGCTAACTACCGTGTTCATCTCATTTGAGCTAACTAGCCTGCTTATTACTTCTTGTCAGCATCGGCTCTCCCGTCCCTTTCTTTTCTATGTAAAATCTTTTGTTTTCTGCCAGTCCTTTTGGAACATCTGATTAAGTAGGTTGTTTTATACAAAAGCTCATGCTTCTCTGAACCAGTTAGTTTCTAAGGTACCACTGTGCCATACCTTCTGCCTGATTTCAGACTTAACACGCCTTACCACCTTTGTCCACACTAGAAGGTCTTGTGATAAAGATATCTACTGGTTTAACTACTGACAAAACTATCCCACCATAGCTAAAGGTGAATTTATCTGTCCTTTTATGCTAGCTAGCATTCTGGGGGGTACTCTTTCCATGCAGTTCTGCTGTTTCTGTAAAATGTTTGAATCTGTCCTTCCCCTTTCACAGGAGGATACCTTTCAACAATATGTGAAGCCAGAAATTAATCCTCAGCTTTCAGACTTCTGCATTAATCTGACCGGAATCACTCAGGTAACATTTTTTCCTATCTGTTTCTTCAGAGACTGGTGTGAATGAAAGGGATACTTTGTCAAAGTTCAGCTACAGGTGTTATGCTTTAGGACAAACTACATTATAACTGCATTAAGAGGGGAGGGAGTTCTGCTGCTTTAAAACACGTTGTCTGTTCAATGTGACGTAAGGCTTTATGCAGGTAAATTGCTGCGACTTTTAACCTGTTTCATTAAGTGTTGAAGTTACAAGGTTTTGTAACTTTTGCATCTGTGTATAAACATGCAAATGCAACAGGTACATGAGACCACTTTTTACCAATATAATTTGATATAGTTGTTACATCAGTTTACATGCTCTGAAAGTTTTTAATTCTGTTTTTGCCACAGCTTAGCTATTTACAACTCATTTAATGTCTTTATGCAAGAACCTACAAGTATGTATGTAACACCTATGGATAGGGACCTACCTAATTCATGAAGGCTGCCTCTGTATTTGGCATGACGTCAGGTGTCAGTTTTTGCAGTGGGGTGTGTCGAGCCCCTCCATACCTCTGGCTGAGGGGCCCTGGAAGCCCTGTCCCTCCCTGGAGATTGACAGATGGCCACCTGTCAGTCTCTGGGGAGGGGCAGGAGTTCTGGGGTTCCTCAGACAATCAGCGGTGTGGGGGCCTGGCCAGCCCTCTCTAGAGATTGACAGATAGCTATCTGTCAATCTCTGGGGAGAGGTGGAACTTCCAGGGCCCCTCCATTGATATTTCCCGCCCCCCCTTCCTCCCTCTGTGCCCCAGGATGTCAAGGCTTTTGCTGTTTACAGTTGCTCCCCCCCCCCCCGGTT